AGGGTAAAATATTTAACTGTACCAGTGTTTGACTATTCTGCACAGTGAGAAAACCTGAAGTCATTTTCAAGGTCCACCATTTCTTACTTCTTTCAGTCGGTCAAGTTTCTAAACTTTCTAAATCTTTGTTTTCCAGCTAGTGAAAAGACAGTAGGATTCTATTGAGTCTCCTATCTACCTACTCCAGGACTTCTGTGAGGATCAAATTAGATGAGGCATGTGAAAATGCTTCACAGACATTTGGTTAAACTGTAAACTGTTTGCACCTGGCTATAAAGCAAGTCATGTTCCTGGGCTGAAGAAACTGCAAGGCGGTTAGTCGCTAGGAAGAGGAAGCTGGGCGTTGCTATGTGACATCATTACCCAGAGCCCACAGGCACCATTCCCAGGCTGGGCTGGGCTGTGGGTCGCATTTTGTGCCATGGGGTCTTGGCAATGTTGGCTGCGATTTGGTGGGCTGTGGCTCCGGGGTGGTGGTGGGGCCTGTGTCCCATTGGGGGAAGCCGAGTGGTGCTTTGTCGGCGCCAGGTCTGTGGCGCCATCTATATTATAAAAAGCCCATGGCCATAATGCCATAACGCCGTCACAATCAAACAACTGGTCACCATGAAGGTGGGGGAGCACCTCTTGGTCCCTCCCCCGTGGCCCACAGGCTCCAATTGCAGCAAGGCTGGCAGCTGGTGGGCGGGCGGGGAAGCAGGCTGGTGGGAGCAGTGAGGTGGGTGGGGCGAGGCACACGTGGGTGGGCAGGGCTACGAGCATGGCGAGGTGTGGGCAGGTGGGTGGGGCCATGCAATTTCTCGCACTGGGCTTCTAGTTTCTTTATATATGGGCAGTGCACATCACTGCAGCTCCTGCATTGAACATCTGCTCCCTGGTGGTCATTGTGCGTCATAGCAACCAGTCGGACGGTTGGAGGGACACATAGCATATCAGCTTTTTACATATATAGATTACAGAGTTATCACACACATTGTATATTTCTGTTGAGAGATTTTACAACATCTCTTGTAAGAATTTTAACAATATATAGCAAGAAACTTAAAATTATTTCCTTTATCCAGTATTTTTCTTTTTAGGAATCTACCATGTTAAAATAATCATAGTCATGGGAAAATGTATAGATAAATATCACTGCACCATTACTCATAATAAAATTTGAAAAAATCAAAATTTCAAATATTTATGAAATTATAGGACATTCACATGGATAGCATGTAGCCATTAAAAGGGTATTTTCTGAGAATATTTAATAGGAGTGAAATGTTTATACAATGTGAAGTGTAAGAAACAATAATCTTTTCTGTATTTCCTTGAAATTTCTACCATTAACTGGTATAATTATTTTTTAAAGCAAAAACCAAAATTTTAATAGTGATACCCATATCTAGATGAGTAATGATAATTTTCAGTAATGTGTCTCACCAGGTCAACAGTGAGATGGATTTCTACTCTCTGAAAGTCTGGTAATGATGAATATAACACCCTCTATTCGGAAGGTTCTGAAAATGGGCTTCTGACCATAGCAAGAAGGATACATTTCTGATTGACATTCTCAGGGCTCAACCTCAGGAAGACAATGGTGTCTGTCTTTTTTTTTAATATATTTTATTGACTTTTTACAGAGAGGAAGGGAGAGAGATAGAGAGTTAGAAACATCGATGAGAGAGAAACATCAATCAGCTGCCTCCTGTATATCCCCTACTGGGGATATGCCCGCAACCCAGGTACATGCCCTTGACCAGAATCGAACCCGGGACCTTTCAGTCCGCAGGCCAATGCTCTATCCACTGAGCCAAACTGTTTTCAGCAATGGTGTCTGTCTTATGATTCCCTTAAATGCAGCTGCCTGAAAGGACTAAGTCAGGATCACCTCCTGGACTGAACTTCAGAATTATACAGTGTGATTTCTGGGCCTTTTGCCGAAGAAAGTTCTGTCCATATATTTGCTGATGCCCGAAAGTTATTTAAAAGGGACAAAATTCTTTTTTTTTTTTCCACATTAGAAGTAACACACAGATGCCACTTAAAAATAGAAATACTATTCAGTTACCACAGATTGATTGATATTCAAACTCACCCTTTTGCATATTTTATATGAATTTAGTTACTATTTTGTTTTTCCCTAAGTACTTTTCTTTTTTTGCCTTTTGCTGCTTACATTGGAAAATGATCACCATCTTTTGAGAAGGTGAAGGAATTGGAAGAAAAGGAGGATACAAGGTATGGAGAAAGAGAGAGAAAGCATGGCCAACAAATGGCAGAGAAAGGAGAATTTGGAAGTGAAGACAAATCCATGCATTTCATGATTTTATCAGTCATTATTCATGAGTTTTATATATTTTCGGACAAACTGGAGAACTGATGTATTTGCAATTACCAAGGTCAAGTGGATGTGTGTGTAATTTAGCCAGGATGCTCCAGTTAGGTCATCAGACATGTACCAACTAAACTTTGTGTAAGTTCTGATGATTGTTCTTATAACTCATATGGCAGTTGTTGTTGGTTTTTATCCTCTGAGGTCAAGGTTGAGTCAGTTTAGGGCAATTTGAGTCAGACTGCTTAGTGGTTGGCCAATAAACTTCATTTGGAGATTCTCACCTTCTCATAAGAGTAGGTACCCCTTTACAGGTTCCCTGCCACTATCTTTACTTCCACCCCATGATTCTTCACTATGTCCCCCTTTCTTATGATATGATATCACATTTTGAGCCTGTTGAAATATATATCTTTTATAATTCTGGAAAGAGCAAAATTAATTCTCCAAGGAGGTGGAAAATCAAAGTACTTATTGTAGAAAACAAATATATTTTAGGAATCTTGACTCTTTTCTGTCCTTAATATTATTTCTTAGTTTCACTTATTCTTTGTGATCATCTGTTTACCTACTCCAATACTATTGCAATAACAACATTTTAAAGGTATTATTTCAAATCAACTGTTACTCAAAAATCCAAGGATTAAGGTTATTTTATCCTAGGCACTGAGAACTAGAATCAGGAAATAAAACAAGATAAAAGTTGTATGATGGAATCCAAATTCCAAGTTGATATCTCAAGTTTAATTGGTGTTTAAAGAGAAGTCATGTTCCTTTTGGCAGTGACAATAAAGGAATTAGAGTATTTCCTGGAGCATTTTGATGAGAGCCGTGCCCATGTTTCTTCAAATGAATATAGTTAACCCTTCACATTCGCATAATTATTTTCATAATTTTAAATTTATTTGATTAGTTATTGTGCAAGAAAAAGTAATTTTTAAAAGGAAAGCTTTACAAATTATTTATTTCATCTTGTAAAACATTTTAGTAGGAAGAAGAGAACAATCTGATTTATTGCAATTTCAGGGAAAATATAAGGAAACCCAATGGGCAGGCATCAATCATGAAATTATTTTAATTATACTGCCAAGTAAAAAGATACAATTAATTTCATTTTCACTATGTTCATTACCGACGACTGGTACCACAAACAATTCTTTTTGGGCTCAATATTTTATAATTTTTAATTAATCCTTAGAAGTACATCTTCCTAGGAGTTAGTAAAGAGTCTGCATGAGCATGGCCACTTATGATAATTTATATTTCAAAATATTTTTAGAAGGTAACAATCAAATCTAATACTAGTATACCTCAATATACCATAGCATGAGTAAAGAGTGCGATACAATTTTAAACTATTTGCTTGTTTCATATCTAGCATAACTTTAATGCTGCTTGTAATCTTCTATTTCAAAATAAAGATAATTATAATATATTTGCATGTATATGACATTAATTCAAAGGTTTGAGTTTACCATCAAAGAAGCATATTAATACCATGACTTGTATAAATCCCACACATCTTCTTTCCTCAATGTTAGTAAATATATGTATTTCAAATGTTATAAATCCAATGACTAAAATAATTATACAAGTTCTAAAACAATCATCATATCTTTTTGCACTATTACTTTGGATAAGCTATTGGTAAAGATTATATCTGTAATCTTCATTTTGAAGATGACTTACAATTTTAATCCAAATTCTAACTCCAAAAACAAAAATAACATTAGTAACTTTAAGAGATAGGCTATCAATTCCTTTTTAGTTGTATACAATAAATGGATTTCCACTCTCAAGGGATAATGTAAGAAAAAAATTCCTTAACAAAGAAGAAAGTATGGTTAAATTCACACTTTTGCTAATCATATATATCAAACCACCAAAAAAAATAATTTTCTCTTAATGTTGATGATATAGGCATGCATACTATATTTCAAATATAAATATAAACTTAAATAATATCATTAAATGTGCTACACATATTTATAATTAAGATGGGAAAGTTTTCATAATTTGGTATAACTGCATATAGCTCAACCAGACTCAGAAATTCTAGACAAAAATCTAAGGTAATTATGTTAGTATTTTGATTTGTGGACAACTGGATATATTTATCAAATCATAAACTGTCAATGTTCTTATGTCTTGTCCCAAGCCTATTAATCCTTTAACCAAAAGCCACTTGCTCATATTTTATTAATATATTATCCATAACTTAACTAGCATAGTGTCCATTATATTTGACTAACTAAAATTTATTTTAACTCTAATGGTAACATTTATTTTTACAAACCTATACCTTTTCCCTCAATTTTCAAAAACTGTATTTTAGTGTAATAATAGATAAGTCAAATAGTTCCATATCGCCTGCTTTAAAAACAATTCAAGCTTTATAAAGTGACAATATAACACCATCAGTAAAACCCTCAGCCCATCTCATTTCCCCATGGCCATCTAAATGACACATCACATGATATTTTACATACATATATCCAGTTTGGTCTTAATGGATGTGCTGTAGAGCATGGTATGGTCCATGTTTGCTGTTATTTTCTAATTTTGCTCCCTTTAAATATGCATGGGATTAGCTCAGCGTGCTACGTCGGGTTATGATATAGGCTTATTGACTGTCATAATGTATTGAGAAAAGTGTAATAATTGGAATTAGGGAATTACTCACCCAGCTGAGCCTCCTGAATGGTCAGTTTACTTTCCATAGGATACAAAAGCTTGGGTGGCTTATCAGTCAGAGGAGCTGAAAAACAATAATAATAATACTGACTATAGTTATGCTACATGAACTGAAGGAGAGAACACAGTTTATTTTCTTAAATAATTTCCATTCTCAGAGTAGTGTGTCAAAGCATTCTACCACATAATGACTTACATATTTCAGGGAGTGCCTTTGAACTAAAGAGCTATTAGATTGTATGTGAGTCAAATATAACACTTCTAAATTGACAATCACATGAGACTATTTAAGTACTGAGTAATGACTGGTCAGTCTTTAAGAACATATAACTGTGTTTCACCAAATCTTTTCAATTTTCAATTCAGTTTTTTCCCCTTTTTAAAGCATATCTTACATTTACTGTGTTAATATATATATATATATACACACATATATATAATCAGGAGGCATTTCAATGATTTCTTTTCACATAAAGTTTCCTCATTATTCTTAATCAAAATCCTTAGTTTTCATACCCTGGATCATACTGCCTCAAACACATTCCTTAGTAATTAGATTTAGTATTTCTTACACATATACTCTATAAATAGGGTAGCAATGTAGTATTAAATTAGTACTAGTACAAGCTGCATAATCAAGCATGCATACAAGTATTCACCAAGATCATACTTTAAAAGATATTTCCCATTTAGTCAAACTCTCTTATTACCATGATCTATTACATTTTATAGTATCTATTAATAATTTGTATGAAATACTCTCTTTGAATTTTAAGTTTCCATACATTTATATTCTGTGTGCTCATCAATTCATAAATTATCAACCTACAGATCTAATAGTTTACTATTGAGCACCTTGAAGACAGGTTTCCCAATGAATACTGCATTACCAGCTAAACTAGACTATTTGGACTTTAGACAAATAGCCAGTTCTCCTTCATTAAGCCTCCATCCCCACCCTAGCAGATTGAATTGCCCAGGTTTCTTGAAATCTGTCATTGCCACTTCCAACTCTAGCAAGTACAGAAATGATAAATTTAGGGATGCTGAGCTAAATGTTTCTATTTTGAGAGTTTTCTTCCTTCCTTTCCAGGACATGCCAGTTTGGTTGATAACTGGAATGCTGATCTAGTCAGCAGTGCCAGGAGTTGGCCACATGTCCTCATTATCAGAGGATTCAAGAACTCAATGTGCTTCAGCAACTCACCCCCATTTCTCTTTAACAGAAAACACAAGGTGAGTTTAAATAGTCCCTGTTTGGGAGACTAACCATACATAAGATCAATTGCCATTGTTCATAACTAATTGAATGCATTATTCATTCATTTTAGCTAATATTTAACACAGAGATGGAGATGAAAGGGAAGGCAAAGTTGGATCAATAGGATATCAACTGCTGTGAAATTCATGTCAAAGATTTAACATCATAATGATTAAGCTTAAATACTCTTATTTCTTACCTACAGTGATCTTAACAGATTTTTATTCTCCTACCAGCCAAACAAGTAGCTTATTCACTAAATGTTGGTAAAATAGTTCACCATTAATAAGTCAAAAAGCCACATTCCTTTGGCTCTGGTTATTAAATTTTTTCAGTGAACTACAAAAGTAACTCTGGTATCAAAATAGCAGGCTTATTCACTAAATTAACTTGGTTCATATAATCTTGTGATTATGCAGTGACAAGAAGGCGACTCAACAGTTTGTTATAGAAAGCAGCTAAAAGAAATATTCCTGTTCACATTCACCCATCACTAATTTATAGTATGAGAAAAGATCTGTAGAAAAGGATAATAAAATCTTTATGGAACACATTCATTCAAAAGTATAAAATGCTTATGTGCTTCTCCACCCAACCCACCACCCACGCACATGACATAATGTTATAGCCTTAAGACCTTTCATATTACTCTCATGCGGCAACTCCAAGTAGCATAGGAATTGTAGAATGTTGGAACCAGAGAAAATTATATGCATATTAAGTTTTCTAATTTTAAAACTAGAGGCCCAGTGCACAAAATTCGTGCACTCGGTGGGGGGGGGGGCCCTCAGCCCAGCCTGCGCCCTCTTGCAGTCCAGGAGCCCTCTGGGAGCCCTTGGGGGATGTCCGACTGACAGCTCAGGCCCCTTCCCTGTGAGTCTGGCTTCTGGATGAGCGGTATTCCCCCTGTGGGAGTGCACTGACCACCAAGGGGCAGCTCCTGCATTGAGCGTCTGCCCCTTGGTTGTCATTGCACCTCATGGCGACTGGTCAACTGGTCAACTATCTGCCCCCTGGTGGTCAGGGCACGTCATAGTGAGTGGTTGAGCAGCCTTAGCATATATTACACTTTGATTGGTTGAACAGATGAGCGGACTACCGGACGACCTGACACTTAGCATATTAGGCTTTTATTATATAGGATGTGTTCCTTAAAGCCCTGATATCCACAGTGACACTCTGGGCAGAAGAAGTGAAGATAGAGATAAGAGGCCCCCAGCAGGGACCTCCACCGTGAAAGGGGTGTGGCCAGCCTGAAAACAGTCATCAGCCCCTCACCCAGGCTGGCCACACCCCCATGGGGTGAGGATCCCCGCTGAAGGGCTTGGCCAGCCTGCAAACAACTCTCAGCCCCTCACTCAGGCTGGCCAGGCACCCCAGCGGGACTCCCACCATTCTGGGACACCCTTCAGGGAAAACCAGCTGGCCCCCACCCGTGCACCAGGCCTCTATTTATACTAATAAAAGGGTAATATGCTAATTAGACTGGGAGACCTTCCAGGAGACCTTCCAGATGTTCTTCTGGACAAAACCATGGTGGCGGGGCTGAGGTAGAGGCGGTCAGAGGCCAAGAGGGGTGGGAAGTTGTGGATGATCAGGCCAGGATGGGACGGCAGTTGTGGGTATTCAGGCTGATGGGAGGCGGGACCGTTGGGGGTACCCAGACCAGCAGGGGGGCCAGTTGGGGGCTAGCAGGCCATTAGTGGGGGTCAGTTGGAGGTGATCAGGACAGTGGGGGGGGCAATTTGGAGTGAGCAGGCCAGCAGGGGGGGCAGTTGGGGGTGAGCAGGTCAGCAGGGTGGGCAGTTGGGGGTGAGCACACCGGCATGGGAGGCAGTTGGGGGTGATCAGGCTGGCAGGGGGGGGCATTTGGGGGCAAGCAGGCCGGTGGGGGGGGGCAGTTGGGTGCAAGCAGGCCAGCAGGCAGAGTGGTTAGGGGCAATCAGGCAGGCAGGCAGGTGAGTGGTTAGGAGCCAGCAGTCCTGGATTGTGAGAGGGATGTCCAACTGCTGGTTTAGGCCTGATCCCTGTAAACCGGCAGTAGGTCATCCTTCGAGGGGTCCCAGATTGGAGAGGGTGCAGGCCAGGCTGAGGGATACCCCCCCATGCACAAATTTTGTGCACCGGGCCATTAGTATATATATAAAAGCCTAAATGACCGGCCAACCGGTCGACTGTCTGGTAGCTATGACGCACACTGACCACCAGGGGGCAAACGTTCAATGCAGGAGCGGAAACCACAGGCATGGAAACATGGAACAGACTGATGAACCTCAGAGGGAAGGGGGGAGGGGGGAGGGCGGGAAGAGATTAACCAAAGATCTTATATACATACTAGAGGCCTGGTGCAATCCATGCACCCGTGGGGTCTCTCGGCCTGGACTGCAGGGATCGGGCCAAAAGCAGCTCTCTGATATCCCCCAAGGGGTCTCGGATTACGAGAGTGTGCAGGCCAGGCCCAGGGACCACACCAGTGCATGAATCTGTGCACTGGGTCTCTAATAAAAAAATAAAATCCTGCCAATTGTGACAATATGAATAAACCTCAAAGATATTATGCTAAGTGAAATAAGTCAGACAGAGAAAGAAAAATACCACATGATTTCATTAATATGTGAAGTTTTTTAAAAAATTAAAACAAATGAACAAAAAAAGAGACTCATAAAAACAAAACAACCTTTGGTTGCCAGAGGGGAGGAGGGTGGAGAGATGGGTGAAGAGGGGAAGGGAAATATAGTCAATAATATTGTGATAACTTTGCATGGTGACAGATGGTTATTAAATTTATATAGTGATCACATCATAAGATATATAAATATCAAACTACTATGTTGTAACCAATGTCACCTAAATAAATTTAATAATAAAAATATATATAAACTACTATGTTGTACTGCTGAACCTAATATTGTATCCAACTATACTTGAATAAAAATTAAAAAGATCAATTCAACTGATGTATAGTGAACACTATAATGTGCTAGACATTGTGATGGGGGTTTGAATAGCTTGGTTTCTGCCCTTATGCCCTATTTAAAGTGATCAAAAGTAATAATAATACTAAAAAAAAAAAAGGAAATATGCTGTACATATTCAACTCCCTTGTTTTAGAGATCAAGAATTCGAGGTGCAACTAGAACAACTGGCTGGTCAAAGGTAACAGAGCAAATTCAAGCTAGAGGCCTTGTTAGATCTTTGCCTCCGAATTCTTTGTTACCTATTCTCTGAAAATTCTGTCAAGTAACTACTATAGCACTTAGCAATCTGTTAGGAGGGCTAAAACATTTAACTAAGTAACCATAACCTATAGAAGAGTATACTTACTGTGCAATATATCATCTACAAATGTCACGTTTTGATATGCTATGGTGTGGATCAGTTAGGTATGTTTCTTGTATGATTCACCTGTGTTTGATAAAAGGGAAAGGAAACTCGCAGATAGCATGACAGCTGAACTACAGATCTGACACACTGGCAAAATGACTGAAAGGCGGTGACCATTAAAGCTAAGATGTAGCTCAGCTCTATAGTCAATTGAGGATGAGAAATTTTGCTTCCACAAAGGAAAGAGCATGTGATGAATTATCCATTATTTGAGTGTTTCTGACACTTTATGGTGTTTAATAAATATGAGTTGAATCAAACTTACAGGCAACAACTGGAAAACAAATACAAAAATGGTAATAACCAAACAAAGTCAACACACAAACATACAAACACAAAGCCCTCTTTATTTTCTTCACCAGAGGCTCAGTGCACAAAATTCATGCACTGGGGTGGGGGGAGGGGGGCTCAGCCCGGCC